TATATATATATAATAACCCACTAACCCTCGATGCAAGCAAACAACTGCACCCATTATCTTTCTCTTTCTGCAAAAACAGGTGTTATTTAATAAAATATTATAACCATATATATACATATATATGGTTATTATATTTTATTACACAACACCTGTGTTTGCAGAAAAAAAAATTATATACATAGCATCCCTCTCAGTCCAAGATGTAGACAAGAACAAGGCCCCATTCACAGGCACCTCTAGCCAGTCATGAGACAGTGAGAGTTGTGATACAAGCGCTTAACTAAAGCATGCAAAGCATTCAAGCAACGACATGCTGTTGTTCCCGTAAAAATATCCATCTCAAAAAATCTGCTCAAACAAATCTGTTACGGGACATATATGTCGGCGTCATCGACACCGACAATCAACAACAAACGAACGAGAGTTTCGCGACGATGCACGAGCCGCCCGGTTGCGGACTCACCTCAGCGTGTCCGGATACTCCAGGCGACCGGCCTTCCCGAAGGTCGCGTTCCACAGTGCTGCCGTCTGGTTGCGTAGCTTCCTGCGCGGGTGAAGGAGGGCGGGTTCCAGCGCGGGAGCGAGAGAGAGCAGCAGCGAAGAGTCGCAGGCACCGCTGTGACCTCCCTCCACGCGTCGGCCCACCTCCGACCACAGCCGGTCGATCTGTCAATCATCGAGAGACGGAATTATCGCAAAGGAACGAAAACTACTGTGAATTTTTTGCTTTTTTTCCGGCGGTTTGAAGATGAGAATTTAGACAATGGGGTGGTTACACGCAAAATGACTGTCACACGATCTGTCGAAGCAGCAATTTAGCAATCGTTGCTCTGTAGTAGCTCTCGTCTTGTTGACGTATAGCTGACTAACTAGTGATAGAGGAGATTGGTTCCTTCTAAATTCAGTTCTCTGGCACGTCATCTTTGGCCCGATGTTGCAACTATGCCCGTTGCAATTGAACTAGCGCTCTTTCAATTTAAGCTTGCACACGAAGTGATGAATGGTTATAGAGATTTTACCAATATTAGAAAAAAAATTTAATTACAAATTAAACATAATTAAATTAACATTAGAGATATAAATACATGTAATTAGTGATGAGGAGAGCATGAGGTAGCGCTACCTTGTCCTTCACAGCTGCTGTGTACAATGTTGGCTCCCGCTTATCGCTAGACTGCTTCAGAATCTGGCGAAGAGGTGGCGCCAGCTTCTCCAGCAGTGCGGCGACGGCCGGCGGGTTGCCGATGTGCTCGACGATAGTCGTAACCATGGCGACGAAGCTCGTGAGGACGGACGACGACGCGGCGCGCTCCTCGCCGTCGAGCTGAAACAAAAGAACGTGTCGATGGTCGTCAAGATGAAACAAAAGAACGTTGAAACACGTGTTGACGTTCGCGCGAGATGCGAGAGCCAGACGCGGCATCTGCTTGTAAAGTTACCTCCGTCTCCATGGCAACGACAGCATCCAGCAGACGAGTGATGAGGTCCACCAGGTGGGTGAGATTCCCTAGAGGCCGCTGCCTGCGCTTGCCCCACTTTACCGGACTCACACCGGCGCCACCTGCACGAACCAAAACACATCGGAATAACTAACAGCCATTTGGTTACTATAGGATAACACCCACATGTGTGTGAATGTACATTTATTAGGTATGTAATTCATAAGTGTAAATAAAGTAATTTGAATTGAATTGAATTGAATTGAATTGAATTAGAAGCAGGTGTATATAAAAACGGGAAACGTCTACAGCAAAAGACTTTGTCACCAGACCGCACATAAATTTGTGAAATGCCGTCGCTTTGCCGAGACACTACAAACTTGTGCCGAATTCACGCACGTACAATCAGTCACCTATCATCTGGAAGCGGTCATACCTAATGTCAACCTGCAAAGTTGTATTTATCATACGCCATGACTGGTGGGCAACCGTTGCTCTAGTGTCCCGATAAGAAGTGTTTTTTTGTCTTACCCGTAGCACTCAAAAGTGTTCCGAAGCTGACACAGCCCACCATCACTTGCAGTAGCTTGGCAACAATGTCTGCCCAGTTCACATTCTGATAAGTAAAGAAGAAGAATGAGAAGATAATAATATAATAACAAATAAATAAAAAGAAGCGATTAGAAGAAACCCTATGAGAATGCTGTGACAGAAAGCTCAATGCTTAATAACGCCTGATGGGAAGGTGGAATCGATTCTTCATGAGTGGATAATTATTATTATCAAATGAGATTATTACTACTATTAATACCATTATTAGTGCTATTATTTATTGAATTATGATTGTATATTAGAGAAGTAATAACAGGAGCTTGCAAACTCGTTGCCATCACTAAAGAGAGAAGAGATCTGGTCTCTATTTCACCAGCACACCACTCTAACGATCGAACATGCTACCAACTTATCTAATCCAATAGGTTCCCGTCGCCGTGACAACGAGCAAACACGAACCTGCAGCTTCTGTGGGGTTGCCATGCCGGCGATCGACACACACAGGTCCTCGCAGCACTGGTTGGGCGTTGTCGTCGCCACCAGGGCGGCGCACCGCACCAAGGTCGTGTAGAGGTCAGACCAGGTCTTCAACATGGCACGAGCCGCCTACACAAAGCAGACGACAGCGGCAACGTCACGCAAGGTTTCCGAGCTATAGCTGCTAACACGGATCGTAACTTGGACTGCAGTGGGTAGACTTATAACACGGATCGTAACTTGACTGTGGTGGGTAGACTTATAACACATGGGGACAGGCTTACCATGGGTCGACCCTTGCGATAAATGTCAGTAGGGTGGCGCCCGAACGTGGGGACGGACTTACCGTGGGTGGCTGGTGGTCGTTGAGATGTGAGACTGGAAACAGCAGCACGGCGTACATGCACGTGAAATCATGCTCCAGCGCGTCGCCCTGGTTCACCTCGTTGCTCTGTAACCGTAGAAATCACAAACAATAGAACATCCAGATGCTCGGTTCTTGTTCGCACCAGGTTCTCGTCATTTTTTAATATGTAACATCATTGACTGCGAACGAAAAACTGCAAGCAAAGGAATCGCATTTTACATCGACAAAAGAGCATTCGCCAACAGAGGGCGTGCTCGCATGTAAACCTAGGCAGGCTTCGCTCTCACCTTATCGACGTACGCATAGAGCGGGCGCGCGATGATGCTCCACAGCCGCATCACGGCGTCCGGTGGCGCCCCCTGCATCCCGCGCAGATGATCCATCACTGACTGAGCGAACATCAGAGGCGAAGATGTCAGACGCATGCTTCCCTCACAGAGGGCGCTGAAGATGCCCGTGAATCGCTCGTCGACGCCGCACTGCGCGACGAGCGACGGACAGAAGAGCAGCTGTAGGAGGTGCAGTGCCGGCGACCCCTGTAAACACACGAACGTGCAATGTCTTTATGATAAACAAAATCGTGGACCGCTGAAATTGAAATCACCATCGTTCAATCGCTCGCAAACTCTCCCATCAAAATTACCTGATATGTGTGTATATATATATACGCAAGTATTTTCGACAAATAAAACCGAGTTTTTACTTCATCACCTCACCACTATACACACACACATACATACACACACATGTGCACGCATGCACACACGCACGTATATACACAGGGATGAGATTGGATAAGCAAGATTTTCAGCTGAAATTTTAATTAGCAAACAGAGGAGCGAGCAATGCGAGGACCGTAGGTCATCGCCATGCTAGGGGGTGCGGGGGCATGCTCCCCCGGAATTTTTTTTAAAAGAATGGTGCAATTTGGTGCATTCTAAGCTATTCTGAACAAATTATAGGAGACTCTTGAATCACCTTTTCAAGTTGTCAAAAGGAACAAACGACTATAATAGGAAATCAGGGGGACTGAAAATAGGGCAAGTTTTTTTATTAAATGTCTAGACATAATGATATTTTTCTGTTTCACTCGTCGCTTGCATTGTTTTACTCAGCCATAAGCTGCCTTGCTGCGACCAGATTTGAATGAAAAAAACACAATGCGAATGGAACAATCAGTGCATAGTCATGCACACAACATGCACGCAGCAACATGTAAACCCAGCCCCCAGGGCCAGGCATGGTCGTTAACGTGATCAGCCTACCTCAAATGTCTGCCCCTCTACGCAGCTTGTGAACGAGGATTTTCTTTTCTGCACGCAAAACAGATACACTGTCATACTTCGCTGTCAGCCTTACTGTCTAACACTCTACAGTCTACAGTCAGGTGCTGTTGAGGGTATATAATTTAAATTGTTACATTGTTACCCCCCTCCCAATTTCTAACGAATTTAGACGTTTCACAAATCGACCCCTGCGACTTTCAAATCCGCAGATTTCCGCGGATCCGCGGAAGAATCTCATCCCTGTATACATATACACATGCACACACACATGTATACACATATAAACATGCCCACTTACGTGCATAACATCACCACTGCCACCGTGAAAGGAATGTGAACTTAGAACCTTGTCTGAAATGGTTGTCAACTCATCCAGGAGTTTCTGAAAATGAAAAAACCCACTTTGAACCAGTGCTAGTATATACAATCAAATCACAGTTATGATACACTACAACTGATCATATTACAGACATTACAGTTTTATTACAGTAGTTTACATATGATAGAGAATATGATATATGACATATGATATAAAATAAACTGTCATATACAAAAGTTATAGTGGTGGATAAAATTGTATTATTATTGAACATTTCAACAAATTCTCCCAAGAGAATATGTATAGAATGTGCGATCTTGTATATTTCATTAGGTTTTAGTAATATATTTCCTTTACCAGTCCTGTAGCAGGGGACACCAGCTGCTCGGAAATTATCACCCCTGTTACATTCAGAAGTGATGACATCACATCAGCAATGTCGCTCTTGTTGTCTTGACTGATGACGCCGTTTACTTGGCCAATCAGATATCTCCAGGTTCGAAGCAGGAGTGCTGCGTGTGCAGACAAAAGACCATCCTTGAATATTAACTCACAATGCTTTCATACTACTACTTTCAAATTTTTCGATACGCGATTACAAACAAGTGAACACGACAACTTACGCTCCTCCTCGTTCGCCAGCAGGCGGCAGCACTGCACGAAGGTGGCAAGTAGTGTCGCTGCGTGTTTCACGAACACCATGCTCGAGTTAATCATAGCGCCACACAGTGACCGCTCTGAAACGGCGGAAAACGACGACGTGATAGAGTTCGTCGAAAGGTCGGCGGAAAGTCGTTAAAAGGTCAATGGATGGTCGTCGAATGCTCGCACAGTTAAACCTGCGCTAGAAGGAGCCGAGTAACATGCATGGTTCGACATCTTCTCAATGCAATCTTTCCCAATTAGACACACTATTAGTTTATTAAACGAGGGCATTTGGAATCGGTTACTATAATCGACTGCCCGAGAATTAAACTTGTGGTTACTTCTCCCTAATGGAGGAGAAATCGCTGGCAGACAATGCGAAACTCGAAATGCAATGAATTCGCGCTAGAATCGCGACGGCGAACCCACCTATACTTATCCCGTCCTTCAGCGGATGTGCACTAGATGGCGCCACCAGCGACGCCAGCACCTGTAGGGCGTAAGTCTGCAGGAACCTATACACGGTGTTCCGCTGGGGGCTCTCCGGGAACGCAGCGACGAGCATGGGCAGAGCCTGACCTGCACCGGCGCCACCTGGTGACGGACATCGATTGTGAGCAGAACATATCGCACAGAATGACCGAGGAGGATATTAATTACATATGATGATCTCGCTGTGTCGGTGAGAGCGCATAACGAGGTGGTTACTGATGAGGTTGCCGCCAGTACCAGTACAGCCATTTGAAAAATGATCCCAATCACAATCAAGGCCACAATCAAAAAAATATTTGTTTGCCCACACCCGACCCAGGCTGAAAGGTTTGGGTAGGTAGGTATAGGCTTCTTTTATTTTAGGGGGGTCTTTTTACAAATTCAGCATGGTGTCTACATGCTCGGGTGTGCTTACAAGTGTGGCGATAGCTTTTATGTTGACTGTTTGTTTTGCTTGGTACATATAATGTATTGCCTACAGATTTATATAACGCACAGTGATACAATTTGTAAAAAAAAAGAATGGGAAAGATCAATAAAATCTTTTGAGTTGGCCCCTTTTTGGCAGGTCGGTCGAGTGAGGGCAAACAAACAATATTTTTATTATGGCCCAAATAAATCAAACAATTAATCAAATGCTGTGGGGTCCCCAATATGCATCAACCTGTATGTTGTAACTCAATCCTAAACAAAAATTAATACCTAAATAAGCAGGGTGCGAAATTAACGAGAGTCCAGAGTCAAATACTCCCTGATTTACTGTCGGACTTCCTGATTTGACATATGCAGGAGTCTGTGTGACTCCATGAAAATTCTGCCATTCTAACAAGTTCGTTTCAGAGCACGGCCTCGCGGAATTACCGTATTTATTCAGTAAACTTCCAAAGAAAATATGGCAGACGTGCAACCGCATGAATCTTAAAAATAAGCACATGCGTTATGGTTAATATCTTTAATTTTGAACTTCAGACTGCGGACTCCCTCATTTTGCTGCGGACTCCCTCGTTTTGAGGGTAGGGAGTCCGTTGGACTCCTGTGTTCAAAAGTTAATTTCTACCCCTGAATAAGGGTTAGGGTACAAAGGGAACGCCGGTGCTGACCTCTGTAGACATGTATCGGTACTATAATGGCAAACACCAACAATGTTCGACGAGACATCGATTAACAACACAAGAGCAGTCGTTAACGTCGAGCTCTCGCGGCGCTAGATTTAGCATACCTGTACGTTTCGGTGTGCTCATCAGGGGTAGAACTGTAGCTGAAGTGTTGGGGGCCTGAGGAGACATGAGCGCTGGTTTCAGATAGCCTCCCATCACACAGAACTGCAGCAACGGCACGCACACCTGCAGTAGAAGCAAAGCAAGATACGTTCCCATCTGTAGATATGATCTATTTCTATATATCTAGAGATACAAAGCTTGACATATATCACGAGTATATACTACAAACCATGCCGCTGCTGCTGCTGCTGCTGATACTAACAAGAGCCGCAGAGCGTCTGGGCTCATCTGAGGTCTGTTGCTACGATTATAAACGTAAAATTTCAGTCGTGCGTAGTACCACATTTGTTAGGCGCAGATATGCAG